CTCTTTTGGCCTCGTCACCTCGAGAAACCCTGCAAACTGAAAAAGATCGAACAAGGTTCGAAAAAAGCTTACTAGAAGAAACTTCTTCCCAAGCGTTACAACATGCCCTGAGAGACACCCTGTTTGACAGCGACAGTAACGGCGACGCCAGCAGCTATTTTTTACGGAGTCGGGTCAATGCCGCCCGGCTACAGACAGCCCAGCCGACAAACATAAAAAAAATTTTTGGGACGTGACACCGAGGGAACCCAAAAAGGGCAAACAACTTTAGAGGCCTGGCTGTTTAAGACTAAAATTATATTTTTAAGAATTTTTTTTAAAAAACTTCAGTAGTTTTACTTGTAGTTCTACATAATTTAATTTGATATTGTTTTAGTTCCAATATAAACTAAATGATCAAAATCAAATTTCTCGTTTTAGGCAAACCTCCCGCAAACTTTTCAAAAACACAAAATTTTATCCAAACAATTTCATTGAAAAATGCATAGAACAAAAATCATAAGGGCGACAAAATTTCAGCCAAAAGTTTCCACCAATCAGGAGCGAGCAAATTCGGAAATTCCCCGCAAGAAGGCAAGAAAATGTTGTCAGAAGCTCATCCAATCAGAATTGTGGGAAATTGGCATAATCCGCATGAGGGCGGGAAATTTGAAAAAAAAACATCCAATCTAAATGCTCAAAATTAATTTATGCATAGCCCGTAGATGGCGACCGATTAATAAAAAAAAAATCCCCCCAAAACAGATTTACAAATGCTCACATTTCCAGCCTATCATATCACACCAATTTACTTTATGCACAGCCGAAAAATTGCGACCAATTACGCTCAACAGATGTTTATATGCAAATTTCTCCCACTATTTTTCCAAACCAATCAGAAGCTAGAACTAATTCAGTCGTTTCGTAACTCTGTTGAGCAACACTTGACATGCTTTGTTGCAGGATTTCGGCCTCAGCCGCATCGTCTAGTGTACCCAACCCGGGTTTTTCCGGCTATTGCGATTACGAGCCTCAAGTCCTTGATAAAAATACTGCAGGCGAAATCTATCGATTGCGTTCCCCTGCGAATCAGTAATTAGCACGATTCCCTCCGAATGCTCGTTGATCCTACTTAGTTTGTGTAGTATATCGACGAAATGTTCCGAGAACGCTTTATTCAAATCACTGATATCGTCCTGAACGTAGTCCGCTCCCCAGTAAAAGTGACATATTTCTTGGTCACAATATGTGTCCTCCGCGTTCTTCTTCGTCCTCCGCGGACTCGGGGTAATCTGGGCAGGAGTTTTTATTTAGAAAATTGGTACCATAGACAACCGAAGATTGAAAAGAGTAATGAACGCATGTAAACATACAAAAACACGGACTTTATTTAAAAAAAAGCTTGAATTTCGATATTGAAAGAAAAAAGTAGATGTTTTTTGAGCTCTTTGAAATTCTAGATAAAAATATGATTGGAGCTTTTTTTGATAACATTAACCCAACTTGAGAAAACTGGATAAACAATTGAATTCTACTTTCGAAACTAGAAAATTTTTACGTTTTTTGCGCCATTTCCGCGTTCGTATTTGAAGAGTGCTATTTACGTCACTTTCAGCAGTTGAATTTAAAGTGAATTCAAAAACTGCTTGTATACGTAAGTGAATCAATATTTTAATATTTTTCCTGAACCAAAATCAGCAAGACTTATTTAGAAGTCTTCACTACGTGTTTTACTACTAATAAAAATTTACATGAAAATGCATTTCATTCTAGTTGAAAACAAAAGCAGTTAGGATAGTAATTGGTTGGAGTGAAAAAAAAGCAGTATAAAAGAACATATAGTGGGTCATTTTTTTTGGTAAGCTGTTAACCTTTTTTGGGGAATGGGCTTTTAGGGCGCCATGCCAACTATTTTATGGAACCTCAGTTGAGAGGGCCTTCAAATTTTTGGGGCGATGGACAAGGGTGTAGTGTTCCCGGAGGCAGATCAGGCGATGGTGACTTCGGGAGCAGCTACGGTTTGTAGCCAGATCTGATGCTTGTACCTCCGTTTATAGGTTATATACTTGGGTCATTTGCTTAACCAACTGTGCTAATCCGCTGAATACCGGTTAGTACTAAGAGTAATAAATTTAAGTTTTAGTTGTATTTAAACACGTTTCCGCTCTATATTATCTAGCTTCGGATGCAGCTTCTCTATGCTGCAGCTAGCTTTGTGTTCTGCTTCATCTCTCTGTTTAGCCAGTTGACCTGAAATGTAGCGAGAGAAAAATCATACGTACGTATAGAAAAACCAGTTGGTGTAGTGGTTAAAATACGCGACCGTAGGAGCGGAGGATTTTCGTTGGAATTCTGGCCACTCCAAAAATATTTTTTCTTTTTTGCTTAAGTTTAATTAAATTGAATATTTATTTAGTTACACTTCAATTAATGTGGGTTTTCAGCACTAACTTTGAATTACTTTTTTTATATGTTCAAAATTGGCATCAACAATTGGGAGGTTTTTGTAAAAGTTGTCCATGAGTTTCAATTTTGGTTTTTTAATTCAATCTGAATAACTATCTTTTTGACGTGATAATTTTTGCTGCTCGGTTAATTGAATGAGTGAGATAAGTCCCTCCAAGTTACAATCCTTCAGACTCTAAGACATTTGTCCTAAATAATTAGGGAGAAGCCTCCTTCAAGCAACTACGACAACAGTCCTAAAAGCTGAGGGGAAAAGCGCCCTCTCCAGCCGCATCCCCACCACCCAACAATTAGTACAATTGTCTTTTTTGCTGAAGGAAAAAGCCCCCCCTCCCCTCCAGACGCATCCCTTTCTCCCTTAGCGTTCAAGACAATTGTCTTAAATGCTGAAGGTAGGGGTGAAAAGAACTAGAAAAATATGATAATTTGAAAGGTGGTTGAAATGGAAAAAAGGACTTGCAGCAAAATTGAGAGCTTGATTGTCTCATTTGCTGAGACACATTTTTTTTTCACCCAAGCTGAAAGAAGACGTTCACTGGCGGAAACGTTTACCAATCTACAAAAATCAGGCGATGAAAAATAGGTTCTCAGGGATTCATGTTGAAACAGTTAAAAACGTGTTTGTGGAATCCAGTGACGAAAAGAAAAATTGACTGCGGAAACCAGTGACAAAATGTGGAATCCAGTTTCAAAAGAACAAATTGGTTGCGGAACCTTTTACAAACAGTGAAATCCAGTAACATTTTGCTTCAATTCACTCCAACTGTAAAAATGCGATTGCCTGCGGAATCCAAAACAAAACATGTCTTAGCGTTTGTCTCCAAAATTCGCATTGTCACTGGATTTTAAATTTTTGATCGCTAGCTAAATTTCAATTTTAGCATCTAGTGTTTAAACATTTTTTTCGATTCCATCAGGTTTCCAACTTCAAAGAATTTTCGAAATGTTGCGGATTCCAACACAAGGTTGGAATCCGCAAGCTAACTAACAAACCACTACGAAAGTAACCGAGCTTGGCATCGTAATAAAATTTAGAAAAACAACGCAATCATATTTCTGCATCCACTTAATCGCTATTATTTTTCCCACCATTAATTTTGAACACTCCTGGTTATAAGTATTGAGGAGTTTTACATGGCTCATTTTTGCAAAAATGGCAAAAATTGTTGCCATTTTTGATGGTGAGACGAACAATTTCAGAATTTTTGTGCCCCAATTTTAATCACCTACTTGTGTACTAGTTTTCAAATAAGAGCTGTTTTTGTTGGATCTTTCGACATACAAACTAAGCAGATCTTCTAAGCAAAATGTTTTTACAAATCGGTTTTAGAAATTATTGTTTTTGCTATCGCACAGTCCTTACAAGTATCCAGGATATTTTACGCAGCTGAGTCTCGCAATAAAGGCGAAATCTATTGTAATCTATTGTTCAAGAGGTGCAAACAATTTTGAAATTAAATGCGCCTAAATTTCTAACAACTCAAAAGTCATGAAACTAATTTAATTTACTGATCACCCGGGATGACCAAAAATACTAGTCATACAATTTCTATATATGGAAAAATGCTAGTCATACACTTTCCATACAATTCCATACGTACAGAAAATTGCATGAAAGTTCTATGATTAGTATTTTTTTCATATATGGAAATTGTATGAATAGCATTTTTCCATAAACTAAAAATATTGATTTTTTACATTTTAATTTCTCAAAACTTTTTGGTTGTGTTCGTAACCGAACACAAATGACATAAACTTTGAGTACTCAAATGTAGTAACCAACGGTTTGGCTGTCTCGCATTAAAAATGCATTGGAAACAGCCTGATATGTGTTACTTCTGTCTCAGACAAATAATATAACGAAAGTAATGAACTTTTAAATTTTGGCAATAATTTTCAAAGATGATTGTTTCTAAAATTTGAATTTTTAATTTACCAGACATTGATCAAAGCGTACAAAAACATGTCATACAAAAGAAATTGTATGAAATATATAGAAATTGTATGGTTAGCAGTTTTTTTCATACCATTTTTTTCCTTTTTTTAATGAAGAGATACCAATTTCGATACCAAAACAACCACAAAATACCTTTGAAATTCGATTAAACTCATTTTGCAAAAATGTAAGAAAGTTGTATGACTAGCATTTTTCCATAGACTAAGTGTATGAAATTGTATGATTAGCATTTTCGGTCTACGGAGGTCAACCCGGTCAATCAGACTTATTGATTGACTTGTTCTTTTTTGTGTCAAATTTAAAACCTTCCTGATGTAACTAAGTATCCATTGCAACCTAATTTAGGTTTTATCACGAAGAACACTACAGAATATTGTCTCTCTCGTGGGCTGTTAAAGATCGTGTAGTGTCCTGATGTCCTGATGTAGTTGTAAATGTCTTTTAATTGGTACTTAAACAATTTTTCTGCTGCTCAGTTTATAAGAAATCAAAACAACAAAAGCCAAAAAAATGAATGAATCAATATGTTGGAAATTTTACTCTGTGCTTCATGCAAATTAACCGGTTCAGATGCTCTCATTCGTGCATGATTTTGCAGACCAGAATCGATTTGGACTATGTGAGTCCAGATCTGACATCATCCGATTGCAGTACCTCTACTGTGGACGTATCCAAGAAACGATATCCCCAACAATCATATCAGCTCTTGCACGTCCAGGCAAGTGATGTGACCCAACAGAATGCATTCCACACTTCGGCCGAGTTTCTTGCCGAGTACCAGAAGTGCCACGTGTCAGTGTACTATGATGTTTTCCAGTCGGACTGGAACGGGTACTATCGAATGGTCATTGACACTATCAATGAGCTGTCACTGAGTGCTCATTTTGAGGTACATTTGAGGTCTCAAATTTTTAAAACTTTGATTCACTTCAAACAGAAACAAAATATAGTTCGAATCGAAAAAATACAACTTAGATTGTACTAAGCATAACTCGAATTGAACAAATTAGCATAATTTTTTTGCTGGTTAAATCAATTTTATCAAAATCATTTTTTTTTTCGTTTTTAATGGGAAATTGAATCTTCGATAAAATTGACCAACCATGTGTTGAATCTTGCATTGTAATTTCTTCACATGATGTCTTATTACATATACCCCCTTCCCTTCCCACAAAACATTGAAGTTTTTTTTGCAGTTTTTTTCATTTTATGTTTAAACTTTTTTGTTGTGTTATAATGTTTGTTATATTTTCGAAAATTGTTGTATTGTTTTTCGATTTGAAAAAAAAAAAATTTGTCAAAGAGAACGATCTAATCGGAATATTCTGTGCTACTTGCAAATCATTGGGATATTCATGTTTTTTTTGTGCAGGTAGATGACGATGGCATAGAAGATGAGACCCAGTTCCTCATCGCAGTCGACGGAGGACGGCAGCTGCTTGTCACTGCTGTATCCTACACTGTGCAGACTAGTCTGTCAGTGATTGAACAGGTGGACCACATGCGAAACTCATGCCGACTCCTGGCGAACGGCGACTTGTTCCAACACGAAGACCTGGAAGCAGTTCAGATGGGAGACACGAACAACTTCATTCAGTCTGTAATACACGCGCATCTGAATACTAGACATACGGATATTATTACTCAGCACAAATTTCTCTCTGTTTTCGATTTCTACCATGTAAGATGCAACTGGGTAGACGCAAACACGCAACTTCTAGAAACTTCCAGCTGCGAAAATGACCACGCGATTTCAGGTCTCATATGCTACTCAACTGTGGGTGAAATACGATCACTTGGTTTGAGTCCCACGGGATGCAGCGAAATAAACTCGCTCAATCGAGCTAATACTGAAGTTAATATGACGTTCGCTTTGAGTTCGGATTTAGTCGGTTGCATGATGGAGCGGAATGTCACATGTCTTGGTTTTGACCAATCGGGCCAAGAGATAGCTTCTTCAGGATCGAGCTATATGGTTAATTGTCGCAATGAAACTCAAGTATCGGTCATAAGCCATGCGAGCAATCCGGTCACAAGGTTCCAATGTTCTGCACCAAGGTTTCCAAACATCGAAGACGCAGCGGAAATAGTTTCTTCATTTTACGAGATTCATGCGACCAATTCGACCATCGAACTTGACAATAAGAGTAATCCCTTTTACTCAAATGGGATCATTCGGTTAACTGAGGAATTGTACAGCTATCCATTTGAAATCAACCTAGTTGCACGCGGATTTCCTCTTCAAAAAACAGCCGTCGAATTCTACGAAAAGTTTTCTGAAGTTGCAACGAGCCCCCTAGCAGCTTCGAATCTGACTTTTGATGAACAAATCATGTGTTCTGTTCCTGATGTACTTCCAAAAGTTATAGTAGAACACTATGTTAGCTTGCGCTTTAACGAAATTCATCCGGAAAACACTGGGTCATACGTGTTCAGTGTAGATATCGGGAATAACCAACAGCCGACCACGGCCAATATTACAGTTGAGGTGGTACATCCATTCAAGTTTGAATGTTCGAATGAGTGTGGTAGAAAAGTACCATTGGGTGAGAACTACACGATCATTTGCACTGTGGATCACCATTTTGTTACTAGTGCTGCTAATTTTGAAGACCCTGCTTTGATGCCGATAGAACTAGTTGTAAGTAATCTGGACAACGATAAGGAGTACAAGTTCTGTCATTATAGTGTTCCACTCTTTCAAAATCTCACCGAAAAAGATTTTGAGCATGGTGATTTTAAAATTGATGCAACCAACCGCAAGTTTACATTTGCGTTTGAAGTGTTCTCAGTTCAGAGTTGGAACAGTGGTCGATTTGGTATTAAAGTAAGAACTAGCGATCCTGCTGAATGCCTTTACCAAAAGGAAGACTGTACCAATATTGGATATGAGGAGATCCAGCAAATGTCATGCACAGCATCTTCAGAACTTGGAGTAGTTGTCTTTGAAGTTGAAATAGAGCGGGAAATGGGATATCCTGACTTGAGCTCTCCAAATTGCGGATCCACCGGTAATGTTCCTTTGTACTTTGACAAGTCGTTTGGTACTTTTAATGATCACTCTCAATTCTACTACCGCTTCTGTCGCAATGTGCCGAGCGATCAATTGGGAGAGGCTGTTTGCGGCGAGGAAGGGGGTGAATTTAACTTCAAGATGGGAGATTTGGTGACCCAACTTGCCCTGTTCGTGGACAATGACGGTAGATTCTATAGAGACAAAGTTTTCAGAGCGATGGCCTGTCAATCTTATGATATGTCGTTCTCAAAAGGTGATCCCACTCCTTACGAGCTCAAGTTCCGAACAAAATCAGCAGGTGTTACTCACAAGTTAGAACTGAACAGTTCTGAAATGGTCGAACTGAACAGCGAAACAGAACCAGACTCAATATTGTGCAGATACAAAAGAGGGAAAGTTTGGAAAATGTCCGGCGAGGCCGTTCAAGAAGGCTGCAGATACGCCAGCATGGGTCCCCAAACAGTGAAGGTTAGAGTGCATGGTGATTTGAACGTAAGTGTGGTCTGCCACGCTTCTCCACCAGGGTCAGCTCCGGCTCAGACGTATGAAGCAGTACAACCTGGGAGAGGCTTCGAGTACTCTTTGGATATCGATGACTATGCAAGGGTGGAAGGGTTCCGGTGTTGCCAAATCTGGGAAGATGATTCGGATTGCTTTGACTTCTCAATAACTGGCCAATACTACCCACTGGAGGTGAACAAGCTTATCGAGCCCGTTAATTTACTCTGTGGGGGCGAGCAGTCTGGGTTTTCAGCACAGCCATGCTATGGTGAAACATCACAGCTTAAGTGTTGCATGAAAGCTAATCCAGTGCAAAATTGTAACTGGCTCATTCGTCAGGGCCAAGTGGGTACGCTTGTGAACGGAACCAGAAATATAACATGGGATTTGCACCCCGTTGAAATGAGCCAATGTATGCGGCCTGACATATGCTCTGTTTTGACATTTAACCCCTTGAGTCCAGAACATAATGGATACTACTCCTGCGTTTGCTCTAACGGATTCGAGGGTACCGCTCTAGAGAGTTCAGGGCGTACTCAATCACAGTACATTGAAATTACAGAACACCAGTCACAAACTGTTGGCTCACTTGACAGTGCAATAACATACCACACCACTTGTGGAAGCCCACCAGAGTTTTATGGAACCCTTTATATTCCAGGAACTCCAATCGACGCCTCAGTTAAATGTCGCCAAATCTCCGGCACGGATTATTCATACCTGAGTGAGGATGAAATTGAAGTGACACGCCCTGATAACGACAAGGGAAGCGACGTTAAATTTAATCTTTTCGGGTCGGACCGGACACGTGAATGCGTGGTTGAAATTCTGAACCGAGCAGCACTTTCGAAGTCCCCTTACACATTAGCTTTTTCACTAAAGAGAGTAGTCGGTTTCGGAAGTATGGAAATTTATCAAGACACGTCCAAAGAAAATTATGAAAGCGAACCATTCAAAATAGCGTGTGAAGTATGCGCGTTTGCGATTAACAACGCAAGAATTATAAAGATTGAGTGTAGAACGGAAAGCGATGCATTGTTGCCTTTCGTCGAGCTGGAAAATAATTACATGTTCGATCCTGTAAAAAATTTGGGCAAAAAAGTTGAGCAGCTTGCGGGGTTTGTCCAAGAAACTGTTGCGTGCACTTGTTCGCTCACAACTGAACCTGAACACTACAGAACGTTGTTCTTCCGAGCCAACGGCGAAGTTGAGGTTGAACAAAACGAGTCGACCAGTGAGCCGACAACAACTGAGACACAGAACTCTGGAGAAACGACAATAACTCCCACAACAAAAGGCACCACCAATGATGCTACAACTATAACCATGATTATAGATGAAATGGCAACAACTCCCACGGGTCTCAAGACAGAAGAGGAATTAATTGAGGAGTTTCAGCATCTAGTAAATTCCACGCAATCTCTCGCTGAAGCGAGAGACGGTAGTGAAGGAGTGATTAACTACGAGGAAGCGACGGAGTACTTGAACACCTTGGCCCGGTACGTTCACGCTAGAGAGAAAACGTTATCTGGAGCCCAAGTAGAAACAGGGTTCGGATTCATAGACGAAATACTAGCGGTGCCGATTGTAATTGAGCCTCAAAACGAACTAATGGCCGAGCACTTGGCATCGGATGAAGCATATGCAAATGAAATGATTAGACGGTCGATTGGACAAACAACGAGCGCAGCAGTTTTCTACGTCGAAGATTTGATCGCCTCCAACCAGGATGCTCCTAAATTTCCTTATCTAATAGAGAAGTTTGAGGATTTGCAAGACGCATTTTTTCATATTGGGACTGAATTGAAGGCTGGGTCAAAGGTCGAAGTGCAAACGGACCATTCGCTTGTAGTGGCTATTAGAATGCCGGACAATCATGACGAGATTGTGGGCGGTGGAGAACTGGTGATTCAGAACATCGACCAACACGGAGTGACTCGGGGTGCTCTGCAAGGTATATTGTTTCGCCTCATGTTTGTCAAAATTTCGGACTCATCTTACTGATAGATTTGTCTGCCTCTTAAGGCATTTTTTCCCGACCTTTTGAAAAGTGCGGTGAAACTTTGCATTCGGGTGAGTTTTAGTTTTTTCTTTTTGTTTTCCACCCAAAATCAGGTACTATAAGTAATCAACGGAATGGGTCGAGTTATATATCATATAAAAGCTTTTTCATTTCAGTCGTGATTCGAACAACTTTACATAATTTTGAAAATTTTTTCTCAGTGTCGAGAAAAACCGGTTTGAAATTTTTGATTTATGGTTTTTTTTCGAGCGAAATGGCTTGGTCAAAATTTAGGCCATGAAAACTTATTTCAATCGAGTAAAGCTTTTTTTTTTTGAAAAGAATTAGCGCCATTTTTAGAATCAAAAACTTCAAAAATTCAAAAAAAAAGTTGCACAAAAATAAACATTTCTTAAATTTTTTTTTGCGTTTTTGTCGCTTTTAGTGGCTATTAGAATGCCAGACTGGTAGTTTCAGCGTCTGGTAGATTCCACGCAATCTCTGGCTGAAGTAACTAGTGACTAGCGTGAAATTATCGACAATCATTTTGTTAATGCTCTCAACAATATGCTTTCTAGGAGTTGTCATCTCAGAAGAAGAAATGGAACAAATGCCCGCGGGATCACAAGTGTTAATCAGCTCATACGACAGGGAAATTGACACACCTACCGAAACTACAATCTTGACTGAACCGAAGCATGTAAAACTGGCCGAAGGCTCTGGCAGTGAAATGGAACTCACTGTGAAAACGTGGAAGAGAGTTTCGGACCACTTTTGCGTCGACATTCGAGATTCCAATGGTCAAAATGTGTCGCTGGGTGTAACATTGTCCTTCAATTTACATAAAGCCAGTCCTGGTTTCGAAATAAAAGGTTAAAAAGTACAGCGTTTTTTCACCAGTAGTTTTTTCCGACCAATGAAGGAAGCCGGATAAGTCTGCCAGTACTAATCAGCGCTGTTTCAGAATAAAACCAGTTTTATATGCTTTGCTGAACAATTGTAGGAAATTGTGCCAAAAACAGAGAAACCAGAAAAATAGTGCTCTTGCATAACTGAAACAGAACTTATTTTTACTGGCAGATCAATCCGGGAGGAGTGGAGAAACTTCCTGTTCGGGTATCTTTTTTTAAATAACTTAAAATTTGTTAAATTCTCTAAGTAGTTAGTGAAGCTTAACTCCTAGCATATCATCTTCTTTCCCTCTCCCTGCCCTGACAAAATGAGGAAGCATAAATTTTAAAAATGATCATAAAGCATTTGATTTTTTCCCTTCTATTTTGCAAAACTTCTTATACTCCGTGTGCAAAACTTCTAATACTCCGTATAACTCAAATAGAGATTAAAAAATTAAAATTGTCACTGTTTTCTTTCTCAATTATCTCGTTTTTCAGTCACCCTGTTCAAGGTCATAGGGTCAACATTGATCCATTATTTAAAGGTAACGCCAAAAATTCTATGGACGCAAAAATTCTATGGGGACAATGATTAATGAAAGACATTATGGCCAATTTTTCAGCTAAAAGCATGTATGTCTTAAAAGCGTATGGCAAGGCAGGGCAGCGCAGATCAAGGAGGGGCACGGCAAGATGTGAAAATTCTAAAAGGTTTTTCAGTTCCGTTTCTGGATAAATTTTAAATCAAGATGTTTGGTTGATCAAGGCCAGAAGTAAAGGCATGGCAGCGGAAAGAAAGAAGGGTCAGGACAGAGTAGCGCAACGAAAGGTAAGCCAGGGTAGCGCATATCAAGGAAGGGCGGGGTAGGGCAGTGAAAGGCAAGTAGGTGCTGAGCAGCGCGAGGCAGGGCAGTGCAAGGCAGGGCAGTGCAAGGCAAGGATAGGCAGGGCATCGCATATCAAGGAAGGATAGCAAAGGCGAGGCAGCGCAGCGCAAGGCAAGGAGAGATAAGGCATAGCAAGGAAAAGCGGCGCAAGGAAAGGATGGGCAGTGCAGTGTAAGCTAATACAGGACAGCGCACAATAGTGCAGCAAAAGCAAGGCACAGGAGGACAGCGCAAACCAAGGCAGGGCAGCGCATCGCAAGAAAACGCAGCACAAGGCAAAGATAGGCAGGGCAGCGTAAAGCAAAGCAATAGAGCACAAGAAGAGTCGGAAGAGAACAGCACAAGGTAGATCAGGGCAGCTCAAGGTGAGGCAGTGAAAAACAAGCTAGCGCAGCGCAGAGAAAGGAGGCACAGTGCAGTGCAGGGCAATGAAAGCAAGGATAGTGCATGGGTACTGTCAGGGCAGCAAATATCAGGGAAGGGCAGGGAATCGTAAGTCAATTAGGGGCAGAGCAGCCCATAGTGGAGCAGCACAGTGCAGGGTGAAGCAGGGCAGGGCAGCATCACAAGGCGAGGCAGGGAAGCGCAAGGCAGGACAGAACCGGGCAGCACGAGGTAGATCAGGGCAGTTTATGGGGAAGGCAGTGCAAAGCAAATAGTTGCAGAGTAACGCAAGGTAGGCAGCGTAGCGCAAGGCAAGGTAGAGCAGAGTAGCAACCGACGGCAAGGCAGGGCAGCACAAGGCAATATGGGGCAGGGCAATGTAAGGCGAAACAGGGCAGCGCATATCAAGGAAGGGTAGCAAATACAAGGTAGGGTTGCGCAAAAAAGGGCAGCGATTGGCATGGTAGAGCAGGACAGGGCAAGGTATGGTAGTGCAAAGCAAGGCAGAGAGACAGGAGGGACAGGACAGGGCAGCGAAAAAGAAGCTGCGCAAGTTATGGCTTGGCAGTGCAGGTAAGGAGGGACAAGACAAGGCTTGAATGGTGTTCAACTAATTTTCACCCCATTGCTAGTTAAAATTCATCTTAAGACGTTTAGCAAGGTCAGGGGCAGGAGGCAAAGCATGTCAGCGGAGCGATGGGTAGCGTAATTTAAGTTCAGAGCAGCGCAGATCCAGGACATGCAGTGCAGCGCTGGGTACGGATAATAAGGGCAGAGCAAAGGCAAGCCAGAACAGGCCAACGCACGGCTACTCAAAAAGAGTTAGGGTAGCGTAAGATAGATGAGGCAGGGTGAGGCGAAGCAGGGAGACACAAGGCAACATATAGCAACGCGAGGCAAGGCAGGGGAGCGCAAGCGATTGTACGGCAGGACAGTGCAAGGCAAGGAACAGTAGGTCACCGTAAGGCAATGCAAGAAGGAGCAAATTAGTGTACGACAAGGCAGAATAGCGCATAGCAAAGAGGTGCATTACATAGCAAGGAGGTGCAGGACATAACAAGGAGGGGCAGGACACGGAAGGGCATCGGATGGCAAAGAACGACTCGGCAGCGTAAGGCAAGGAAGAGCAGGATAGCGCAAAACAAAGCAGATGAGCGCGAGACAAGGCAGCACAATGCAAGGAGAGGCAGCGTAAAGCAAGGCAGGACGGTACAAAGCAGATCAGCAAGTGGCTCGGCAGAAAAGGGCAGTGGAAGGCAAGGCAAAAAAAGCATGTCAGCGCTGAGCAAGGAGGGCCAGGAAACGCAAAGAATAGCCGGCCAGTTCTGGGTAAGAAGAGGCAAGGCAAAAATTGAATGATCGAAAGATTTTTTTAAATCCAAAATCTGGAAGGTTTTCATTTTAAGATGGGCTAAGGCAAGGAGGGGCGGGTAATGGCAATGCAGGGCGAGGCGCTGTAAGGTACGACAATGCAAGGCAGTGAACAGCAAGGCAATGAAGAGTAGAGCAAAGTAAAGCAGATCATGACGGAGCAGGTTAAACTCGGGCAAGGCAGGTCAGTGAATAGCAAGGAGGGGCAGGACATAGCAAGGAGGACAGGGCAAGGAAGGGCAGCGCAAGGCAAAGAGGGGCTCCGCGGTGCAAGGCAGAGCAGTGTAGCGCAAAGCAAGGCAGAGGAGCGCAATCCCAGGCAGCGCAAGGCTAGGAGAGGCGGGGCAGCGTAAGACAAGATGGGGCTGGGGCAGGACAGCGCAAAATATGGTTGGGCAGAAGGTTTTTTCAATTCAAAGTCTAAAATAATTTCATTTAAGGATGGACTGAGCAAGGCAAAGTGAGGCAGGGCACGGCAATGCAGGGCCAGGTTTTGCAAAAAGTGCCAGGACAGCGCAAGGCAAGGCAGGGCAACGCATGTCGAGGTAGGGCAGCGCAATGCTAGGAGGGGTAGATCAGCGGAAGGAGGAGCAGGGCTTTCAGCCACAATTTAGGTTCTAAAAAAGTTTAAGAACTGACCCAATAGTTGGTGTCTGGGCAATTCCAACCTAAAATTGGGTGAACCGGGAACAAGAAGAAGCAAAAAACACAAGTTTTCAAAAAGTAAGGGTTAGTTCGTTTTTAAAATTTAATTGTTATCTCTTTAAAGTATATCACTTTCTCTGAAATCGGGAGTAAACAAATTGAACTCAGAAGATATTTAGTCAGCGTTTTGTTAATTATAACCAGAATAGGGTAGGTTCTCAGTGATGGGAGTTAAGTACTCACTTTGTTTATCTTGTCTATAATCTAAAGTTCATTTTAAACTGATAATTGCTTAACTACTTGTTGATTTTGTTGTTATCAGGAGTATTGGTTCGGAGGAATAAAGTCTTTCGTTCCTAAAATTAAAAAACGAAGATAATTTTCTAATTAATCCAACTCAATCCCCGTGAACCAAATCCCCGTTGGTTGGAAGTGTCTAAACGCCTAGTTACCGCCTCAGTGTTGAGAAAAACTGGTCCACATTTTTTTGTACTAATTGACACAGTTTTTCAAAAAACAAGATGAGTTTCTAATGACGTATCATTACCTTACTTTTGAACAGTGTTACTAACTCAATCGCAGTCATCTGAAAAAATTGAAGTAAAAAAATTAGAAAGCAATTTAGGAAAAAATGTCTTTTTTAGTTTTTTTGAATTTTTTACTTTATTCAAAGTGTCGAAAAACTCATTCAGATATACTATATTTTGGGTTATTGAATAAAACACTAGTAGATATTCTTGCTTTTTTAAAACTACTTTTTGCATTTCATTATGTTAAGCTAGACGTTTTGTTGCTTTTTTGTAGCGCCTTGAAAATTTTTTATTTTCTCATTTCTAACCATATAACACCATACAATTTCAATCCGTGTTTTTGTTGCCTCACCATTTTAAAATCACTACATTTCAAAGCAATTTCTATTTCTTAATCCAAATTGGAAAGACATCAAAGAAAAAGGCGAGAAAAGCAGTTGCCATTTAATGCCAGACAAATTCTCGCAGTTGAATACTAGTTTTTTTGAACAAAATTTAGTTTGCATTTAATTCAGATTTAACAGAAACTCCATAGAGCTTTGAACATTAGAGATACGGTTTTCATTTAAAACACGCTAATTATGTCTATTTGTGCTCTCATGACCACTCGATGCGTCGCAAAAAGTTTCTGTATTGAATGTCAAAATGTCATCCTTCGAAGCATTTGTTGTCCGTGCAAGCCCTACTCACGACCTGTTTCCAAAGGGAGGATGGAAAAACATTTCACGGTTTGCTAACTTGGTTTTATTTAGGTAGAATTGAAATAGAGACTCAGTTTTTCTTTTTTTTTTCATTCTTTTTAAAAAAGGACGACATAAAATGGACGCCACAATACTATAACTTTTAAAAATGGGTTGATGGTGGTTTTTAACTGAGCAATTCTATTTTGTAGATGACGTGCAAATTACAGTGCAACATAAGTGTGTCTTTTTTGACCCCATATCTGGTCAATACTCCTCGCTCGGACTAGACCCTCTGCTGATCGAAGACTCTAGGGCTACCTGTGTGTCCAGACACTTGACCGCATTTGCAGTAATCGCCGAAGTAACTCAAATCAAAGTAGACTCCGCTCGCAAGGTATGTAACTTTTGACGAGTTTGCTCAAGCATCTTCCTCACGATATAATTGACAAATCAAAAATCTAGCTAGAGTGTTCGGTGCCAGCAGTCGGTGGAGATCTAAGATTGTTAGGAAAATAAAAAGGGGATTCATTCAGAATTATTATATAGAATTTAATCTATGTGCAGGAGAGGCTGCACTGGGTGTTGAATGGTTGCGTGATTGTGGCATGTGTGCTGCTGGTGGTGGCCTTCCTCTGCATGCTCTACATGTTGCCCCTTCTGGAGGAGGAGGAGACTGCACTCCAGATGCTAGTCCTCTTCATGCTCTCACTCTTCCTTGCCTCATTTCTAACCATGGCTGAACAGGTAGCATAACCTACTATGATATTAAACAGGACTTAGTTTTGAACAAAATATTTGAATTGTCAGGATTAAATAGGGGTGAAATGGTTCTGGGATTATCTTATGCTTGATAAACTAGGGGGTTAAAGTCACTTGCAGTAATCTATGGTTTGAAATCCCAACTTTAAATAACATGGGGCAACAATTTGGGATATTGACAGTATACATACCAATAATTGAATGTCCTAAATCTCATTTATTAGTTTCCTTCTTCTGTTTGTGAATTGCGGCCAACGTACAGCAACAAAAAATTCACTTTTTTCGAGAAATGTGTCTCAAAATTAGAGTTTGGAGCAAAATAAAGGCTTCGAAGTGTTCGAATGTGTTCTAAAGTGACTGTTCGACTAGCTTGACAAATAAAAAAGCGCTCCATGCTTGATCAACTTGCTAACTTCGTTAGTGTTTGCCATTGTTAATAATAAACTAAATTGATAATAGATTATTTTTTGTTATACCTTTTGCCGTCATGTCTGTCGATGTTAGCGTGAGTTCAATGGCAGTCTGTGCATTGCGAGTTCCTTCCTGCTCCACTTCTCCATCTTGTCCACTGTGGGCTGTTTGTTGAGCACAGCATACCACGTGATGAGAGACTACAGTCCCACCATGTCCATGTCCACAACAGCACCCCAACAGAACAGCCGCCCCACCAACCCAATTGTGTATATAGTGGTCACATTCTTCATTTCAGGTCAGAAAAAGCTTCCTGCACCTGGCAGAATTTTCCAAAACGTATGCAAACATTCCTGGCTGACTAATACATAATATTTTCTCATGTAGTATTTTAAGGCTAATAAATAATAGCTTCGACACAACTTTCCAAACAGTCCCCTTAAACGTAATTTTTGTTACATGACAAATGACCCTTAGCTTAAGATCCCAAACGAGAAGATTCAAGTCAATAAGATACCATTCCAAAAGATACCTCGTTTTAAAATCGCCCGCGACGTAAGATACCATAAGAAATTAACAAAGAACAAACGAATAGAAAATAATACGGTTAATCAATCAAAGCGTCGGTTGAAATCAAAGAAACGGTAAAACTTTTGCTGCTCAAAATTCAAACATAAATGACCTTGCTAATCAATTGGCCTTCAAATTGAAACTCAAACTTCAAAACACCTTAAGCTACAAATGAACTTAAAAAAAAGGTTTCCATTTGATCAAAACCAACTTTGCCAAAAATGGCCATGTTTTTCAGACAACTCAAATCTGTACAAAATTGAAATTAGGTTTTTGCAAAATTCTAATGCTTTCAAATAATTTTTATTGCGAGTCACATCACTTGCCATTCAATTTGATAAAAAAAGTCAATTCTCAGTTTTGATCAATTTTTTTGCGCTAGACGACATGCTAAAAACGCCAATCTAGCGTCCCTTAAATAAATGCAATTGCTCTGGGGTTAAAATTCTAGAGACAGCAGTTTTAAGGTGCAAGGAGACGCCTATTAGTCTATAAAAAAGATGATCAAACAAACTTAAACTTAAGAGAAATTAGGCAAAAACTAAAACAAACATTATTAGGTTAAATGAGCATATGAACGGGTATAATACAATATGTTAGAGTTTGTGTATGAACTAGTTTTCGGTTGTTTTTTTTTCGTTCGGATAACGGTACTTTTTCCCGGATAACTTGATAGTTTCGCTAGATGCCTTCAAAATATAGAATTTTTGATTGTAGGAATCCAGTTAAAATTTTCATTAAACGTATATTTTGATAGATGGCTGCCTTAAAACAAAGCGATTACTCATAAATGCCAGCCTTCAACTGCATTTGTGGTTCGCGTTAGACCCCAAACAGCATTTTGATAATGGTTCCATAAAGAAATAGGCAAGAGTGTTTTTCGGCCGATCAAATCCCCTTTAATATACGTTTTTGGAAATAAGCCGTGAGCTTGTCTATTATTTTTCGAGATCGTCTTCTGAAATATCGAGTTGGGTTGCCACACTGAATTTTTCCTCAAATACTAGGTCAAATCCGATTTCCACTTTTGACTCCGGTACAAAACTAAGAGCAGGAAACATATTCAGCGCTAGGACTAGCTCGCTATTTGATTCGTTAGTCTTTTTACAGCCCAATTCGGATAATTTTCCTCAAAAGACGCTGACAGAGGTGAAAAGAGCATCCCTTAATATCAGTTCCGTAATGCGATGCAAAAGCGCTCAAACGCCGCAATTTCACGGTCGATCAAAATTCTTTCGGGGGTTACGTCACCGATAAGCGAGTTAGGTGCGCTTAGGAACCTGTTAAAGGTTGATAAGCGTTTATTGCTGAGCAGAGCGTAGACACAGGTAGCATAAAAGCCACCAATCTGAATAAGTAGAAGGTAGAGCTTTATAAACTGACTGGGGCAAATTTCGAAAGTACCGTCTACAAGCCAGGTTATATTGTACAATTTAAGTGCGTTGACGTTCTCAAGATCGCCAAAAACCAAAATTCGTTCCATAACTTGTTTTCCGCTATCAAAAAGACAAAAATTCTTAAAAGTATCCGGAATTTCGAAATGACGGTCATCTGTAGCAATAATAGGCAGGGATATCGATTGTTCACTTCTTTTTAAAGTTCTTGTTTACGCCGACCGGGAGGGCAAAGGCAGTTGAGTTGCCTTGTCGTCCTGCGCCAATTGCAAACTAGTTGCAATGATCTGGCTGGTCACTGAATTTATTCAATTCAAAACAGTCTCCTTCTTTTGCTGAACTAGTTGTTAAGCTTTTGAGCGTCCTGCGTTGAGCTCGCGACCATGCTCGTTGCTGTTTGATAATATATCGCTCCCACAAGTGATTAAAGTTTTCGGACACTTATATGATCTCGATTTACTGCAGCGCCAGTGTGTTGTTGTCTCCGTATCGCGTTTCTTTTGAAATTCATGGCCGTCTAGAATTAGAAGTGTTTGGCTTTTTTGTGAGTTTCACCAAAAAAAAAGAATTCATTTTTGACTATTCAATGTGTTAAAGAGTGAGATAATGAGCGCAGAGTGTATACATTTTCAATTAAGTTGTTCTGAACCTGTGCCATGTTAACACTAAACTAAACACATACTGGCACTATGTTAATCCAAAGAATGAGTCCAGTTTAAATTTAGTTATATTAGATTTTAAAAGCGCGAACCTAATTGAGATCTCATAACTCTAGATTTCTTCTGATTACATTTTGATCACGAATTTTGTTCATTTTTCATGGGATCTTTTTAATTGGAAGGGGATCTTATGGTATGGGCAATTTTTGTGCAAGGATCCTCTGGTACGGTATTTTTTTTTGTCATGGGACTTTATATTTTTATATTAATAATAATAAAATCATTAAAAACTGTTTGAAATAAAGATTGCAATCTCTGTAAAATTCCATACACGCAACCAAATGAAATCGCGAGAACGCCGTGGAACAATAGTTCAATCAATAAATTATTACTTAAACTTAAGTTATGCATAAAAAAGCTGATTTTTTTTTTCATTAATGAAGTCATGGAAAATCTAAACGAACAATTTTTCTGTATAAGCTGCCAGGTTGTACTGTGCGTATCATATTATATCAAATGGTTTCAGCTGCGTTTCCTTTGCTGTTTGTCCTTCCAAAATTGGATACTTTCAATTCCAACCCCCTCTCGATCGACAGCTGCTTTGGTGTCCTACGAAGAGACGATGAGAGTGCCAACTGGACCACCTTGCTTCTAGCAGGTGTTCTCTGTATCTACCTGCTTGCTACATTGATCACATTCGTATTTGCTAGAATGAATTTGGACTCCTTCTGCCGAGAAGTGGACGCCGAACCTGAAATGAGAGAGACCCTCAGACCCAAACTTAACTACAACTTCTATCTGACTTTAGGTTAGTATCATGCATATGAGTCAAAAATTCCAGCAATCATTATGTCGCCTTGCTAACTTATGAGTTTTGAAATTGCAAAAAGGACACAGAAGCAAATGCATGTTTCTGTTGAATGAATTCCACAAAAAGCAGTTTTTTTTGTGAAACTTTCTTAATACCTGTTGATATGAGCGAAAGGAAATTTTGTTTGTTCGCTGCCTATTCAGCGGTCTATTCGCTGTTCGCGTTCTCCATCCTCACCCAATGGAAGAGCAAGAAAGCGTCTGATGCTCTGCATATTCTGCTGGGACTGTGGACTCTTCTGGTGTGCTGTCTGCCCCTCTGTCTCTTCCTCCGCAGACCAGAGACACTCACTGCATACATGAACGCCAAGGCACAACAACTCATGCCCAAGAAGAAAGCAAAGAGTTAGTACTTTATCCGCTACAGCCTCTCTCTTCTCATGAAGGGCTCTTGATTGAACAAGGCTCCTTTCATTTCAGTGTTTATTGTGGATAGTTAATTTTGGTTTTAAAATAGCTTTTTTTGTCGATTCTCCCATTTCCAATTGCTGCGGAAAACCATATTTACCGAGCGCTAGCGCACTCTAACACGTTTTTTCTGCGCCGAGGGGAGCGGTGGTGAAGTGGTTACGTCTCCGCCTCTCAATCGAAAGGTCGGATGTTCGAGGCCCACCATGATCCGTGCTCGTTGCTTGAGGGTGAGGCAACATTACCCAGCCCAGAAAAATAACCAAAAAAATAGCATGGTTCTTAAACAGGGGCACAACAGCGGTTCGCCGTGATGAGCTGTACAGCTCTTGTGTTGGTCCTTTCCCCCGTGGATAAATAGTCTTAATCTAATCTAAAAGCTCTTTAACAGCCCTCACTATTCTACTCTTCAGATATCACAATAAAAATTGTTGTTTAATTTTCAAAAAAAAATTGTACAATAAATTGTTTTTTTTTAAACAAAAAATCCATAAAAAAGTTTTCACAAGAGAGAAAAATTATATCCCACCAAAACAATCCCAAAAAATGTTTGGTTAACTAATATGAAAAGAGTTTGACCATGTCTATATAATTTTTCATTTTAAACATTATTGTCCTAAGATCCAGTAACTTGATTTATGGAAGTTAATCAGGAAGTTGTGCATTTTTTTCACCGTATAACTGATTACTTAATATTGGTAGACATTGTTTTTGTCTGTGTTTCGAATTCCAGTTTTTTTTTCTGAAAAGCAATTTTGAAGCCAGTTTATCAGTACATAAAATGTATTGCGTTTAACTGTGTCATTTTTTCTAATACTTTAGCTATTGTCTTCAATATCTCAGTTCAGAAGCTTGAACCAAACTTATGAGTCAAACGCATAAACCAATATTGATTAAAACAAAAACCATTTTGAGGTTCGGTTTTTTTCAGTTTTCGCTTTTTAAGGTTGATGCGTTTTTGTTCGTTGCAACTGCAATTTTTGACTTTTAGTCCAGTTTCTAGTAAGCAAAACGAAAAAGCAGATTTTATGAAACCTTTTGTTTTTTCGAAGTAAGACTAAAAATTTTATTTCACTAATGAAAAACTAAATTTCATACCAGAAAAACCACTTTTGAACAGTTGACGAAGTTATTTTATTCAGTGATTATAAATACAATTTGTCAAACATAGTTTGCAACAAAAAGTTATATAACCGCTTGGACGCTAAACTGCTATAAGAGCCCATAGCTCTCCTATAAGCGCCCAGAAAAGCAAAACATTTCTGTTCGTAAAATAAGGCTTTAACGTTCATCAATCAATTGAGAGAAAACAAATCAGAAAGCTCATTAGCAAAAAAAACAATCATTAGCTCAATATTGTCTTTTAAGAAAAATTTACATGTATGTTTACAAAAACCGATTTTCTTTTCATCGCTGACTTCTAAACACGTATTTTCAAGGATACCACTGGATTCGACAAATTTGTGCATTTTGGTTAAGCGGAAAACCAAACTTTTTTTCATGACGTTTGTTTTTGTACTCGGAAAAGTTAAAAACCAATGAGAACAAGAATGTGAAGATATTCGTGAGCAAAACCGGTCAAAAGTTTATAGTTTTAATTCAGATAAACCAATAAATTGGTCAAGCTTTTCTTTGAACATATGAAAAAGGAACAATTCCAAAATCGTTTCAATCGAGTTTTCGTGAAATAAATCTACCGATGGATCAAATTTTCTACGGAAAAAGACTATTTCTAAAGAAAAGAAAGTTTCTAGAAGAACATCCAATAGCGATCAGAGCATACATGCTTAAAGATTTGCTACAGGCGTTGTTTAAAGATTCAGAGCCAAACTAAGAGCAATTTACAGTAAAAAAGTTGTCTAGCTTTTAACATTACACCGCAAAACTCTGCCAATTTTCTGCAAACATAATCAACGTGTTCAAGAAATTGTAATTGGTTGTCAAGACACATTCTTAGAACTTATATGAACTAAGCATCTCGAGACTCGAACCCTGCAAAACAAATTCGGATTGTACAATTTTAAGCGATATGTCTGAGTTTTGCAATTTGCAACAATGAGCTTGGCCTGTTTTTAGTGCAACAATCATCAACTGCTCTTATGTCTTTTCCAAACAACTCCTTTTTTCTGATGGGTTTCCGCATGCCAACGCGCGTTTTTTCGCTAGCTAAAAGCTTTGTTTTGCTGTTTGTAATAGTTTTTGGTAAATCATTGATAAAAAGCAAGAAAAGAAACGGACCTAGTATTGAACCTTGCGGCACAACAAATCAAAGCATTTTGTTTTATGATAATGTTCCTTCAATTGATACGTTTTGATCCATCTCAAAACGATACGTTTCAAATAGTTTTTTTGCATTAACTCCGTTGCCTTTATCAAAGCTTGAATACATCTTTTATACTGAATGCGAAGTGCTCATGAGCAAACCAGTTGTTCTTTAGTACAAAAGTATAGCGATGATTTAAAAGCAGTTTTTCAAAGTTTTGCAAAACACTGTCAGCAAACTATATGGCCGATAATCGTTACGGTCTTGTTTATAGCCATAATTTTGTATTGGCATTATTTTTGCGATTTTACAAGAGTTCGGAAAATTCCTTGTGCCAATAATCAAAAACTGCCGAGAACTGGAGAAAATCGATAAATTTCATAATTAAGACAATCATTACCAGTAGATTTTTGTTCCGACTTTCAATACGCAAGTAACGGAATATTTGTGCTCGGGGTGGGTTTTTTTTTCTTCAGACAAATTTCGACTTTTTAACTAGCCGTTTTTGACGGATTTTTTTTATATCATTCGAAAGCTGTTGTTGTCCTGAGCTTGAATTTAAAAAGATATTTTACCTGTGATCATTTTTCGTAAAGTTATGGGGGTTTAAAGATTGCCATTTTGGCCAATTTGGGACAATTAACGCGCGATAAATTTCGCGCTATTAATGCGTAAGCGAGATTCAATCCGTCTTAGAAATTGTTCCAAATTGGTTCAAGGAAGCTTTTATGCCATAATTGATTTGTTAATAGTAAAATCTATCACTTTGTACTTAATATGACATGTGGGGGGATGTTTTTACATAAAATCTCAAATTTTTTCAAAAAAAGTTTTTTTTATTTTTTTTATTACATTGAAATTTTTCACCTTATTAATGCTCCATAGACCTTAATAGGCAATCGGAACTTTCAGGGCATCGCCCTGATACGAGCAGTCTTGTTTTAAATTTAAATTTAAATTTGTTGTTTTGATTTCACGCGCGTCCGTTCTAGTAACAAAACAACCGGCCTCGCTTCTTTCAACGTTTTCAGCTGCCTTTTTGTCCTTGGCACAATTTCAGCCAATTTTTCTTCAAATGAAAAAGAAAAGCTTTTGCAACTCGGGTATTTTCCCGTTGTCTTTTACCGCCCAAGCTATTATATTTTGTGAAAATTTGCAAAAATCATCACAACTATTCAGTTTTTCATGGTTTTTTCTTGTTTTTTGGTTACGATATTTATTATTTAAATAAATTTTTCTTTGTCGTTCTTATAATTATTTTTTTTGAAGCGTATTTGCCCTTCTATCTTTTTCTTAATCAAAGATTTAAATTCTCTGTTTATCCATGTTAAGTGCTTGCTTGCGAACTTTCAGTAAGACAGAAAATTTTGCTTGCTTGTTTTCTGAGGGGAAAATGAATTTAAAGGTAGTATCGCTGGTTTTTGTTTTTGTCATATCCCGAAAGAAAGATTTGTGATATTCTACGTGTATTGTTTGAACAAATATTACCGCCGAAAACGCATACTAACCTAACCGCTCAGGGAACATTTTTTTGTCTTCACGTTTGCATATCTGGATGACAAAAAATGATCAACACAAGTCATATTGTTGATTAAATGCGAAACAGTTTTTTGTTCTGTATGGCAAGACTACAATTGTCAAGTAAAATTTTGTATTCAAAAAATCTTTCTACTATTTCTTGGATTCAGAATATCCAGGTAATAATCTCCGCATAGTGTGAATTCAACTTTTATGTTTCTCAAAAATTTTCAAAAAATCAGTGAAACTACTCGAACACCTATGGATAACACAAAACTTTTTTTAAATTTCGAATCAGAATAGAAATTAAATTGTGCTTCAAAATTTTTGCAAAAATTTCAATTATAACCTTTGCGAATGAACAAAGCAACACCCAATACCTTTTAGATCGGTTTCTTACAATAGGATCATCGCAGCCCTCTAATTGATACATACTTTGGGATCATTGTCACTTATCCTCGTTTCACTTATCCTCTGATCCAGTCTTAATAAATTTATATCCAGCTGTAAAAGGTCTTTTTCTTGCCTGTTCTCCCATTTATTCTTTTCAAAAGCAGTTTAAGTAATTTATCAAAACGAAAAACAGTTGATCTTCAGGCCGAATAGCTTTTGTTGACTTTTTTCTTTTTCGCGCAGACATTCCCAGATTTTCACCACATATCTCTTTGTTTTGTCTGGCTTTTGAAAATTTATTCAGCGAGAGCACACGGAGGCGTTTTTATGCTGTGTGCAAGTTTTTTTTTTACTGATAAGGCCTCTGTTTGAATGGGGAAAATGAATAGCCCACGCTTCCAACCATTTTGAGTTAGGACCGAAGTGTATAACTCATAGAGTAATTTCGGATAGGGTACACCGTCTGCTCGTCACGCTATCTTATTTTCGGCCGGATAGATTCGTGCAACTTCTTAGTCTAATACCAATCCTAATCTTACTCTTATACTATCTAGTCTCAGGTTGTTTAACTAGTCTCTGCTAGGCTCAATAGATCTAGGGTATACTGGTTTATTGCGGTTGCTGAAGTCTTCTTGGAGAGTCAACTAATTTCTAAGTTAAATTCAAATCTCTCTGGTGCTGAAATTACAAGTAATTCCAGCACTTACAAATAAGTGGGTTGTTAGTTGTATGGATCATGATTGGTTAATATTAAATACTTTAC